CAATTTGTTATTCAATGATTTATTTTATTTTTGTACAACGTTCCGTTCTTCTCAATACTTTATCAATTACTGTAACAGAAATACAATGATTAACTTTAAAATTATAACATATATATATTATTAATTTTTAAATTTAACATGAGTCTAGTAAATTTAATTGGAAGGTTAAATTTAAGTAACTCTTAATATTATAACAAATATAATTAATCACAATTCATACATAAAAATTATAAAAATTAACAAATTACTAAAAATTTTACAAACAAGATATTTAATAACAAAGTTCGCTATTTTCAGGCTTACTTATTCTTATTTAAAGCATGTAAAACTTTCTGACTACTCAAATATTCTCTGTTATATTAAAAAAAATTCCTCGACACACTGAGAGAAAAAATTTATTTTTAAAAAAATTAGCAATGCTGTAATAATAAATTTATTCGTTTTAAATTTTCTTCATGAAGAAATAAAAATTTTTCTTACAGTAACTTTATTATTGAAAAAAAGTTTTCTAGATTTGGGAAAAAAAATTTTGGATTTAAATTCCCAAGTTGTCTATCTAAAATTATTTTTTTCCAAATCAAAAAAACTTTTTTTCAACAAGAAACTTACTGTGAGAAAAATTAATATTTCTTCAGCCAAGAAATAAAATTGTATAAAATTAGCAACAAATTAATTTCTTCTCACTAGAATGCCCATTTTTTTCGCTCAATGCAGAATTGGAAAAATAAAACTAGAAATAAAAAATAATATTTTTTTGATAAATTAATAAAAAAAAAAGTTGCACTTTATCATTTTTACAAGTGCATTTTTTTTGTAATTAATTTAAAAAAAAATTTGACAACTTTTAAATTAAATAAAATTTCTAATCAAACAAAAAATCTCCAGATTCACGGACTTTACCGAGGAATGTCATCCCCACTAGCCGGCGTAGCGGCATTAAACGCGATAGTTTTCGGAGTGTACGCGCAGGCGCAGAAGCACATCATAAAGGACCCAAACAACCTAACCTCGCATTTCTTCGCAGGCGCTCTGGCAGGTCTTGCGCAGGCTCCAATAATATGTCCGCTAGAGTTAGCAAAAATGCGCTTGCAGCTTCAAGAAAATTCAGTAAAGTCTCCCAAAAAAATCTACTCTGGGCCCATAACCTGTATGATAGATATTTTCCGGCAAAAAGGGATCAGGGGAGTGTTTACGGGGTTCTGGGTGACTATTTTCCGGGAAGTACCGAGCTTAGGGCTCTATTTTTCAACCTACGAGCTGCTAACTCGCGACATTTACTTCAATTTTGCGAACAAAAACGAAATAACGACCTTCCACATGCTTATGGCGGGCGGATTTGCGGGGATTGGGTCCTGGTTGTTCACCTACCCAATCGACGTGATAAAATCTCGGATCCAAGCTGATCAAAATGGCCGCTACAAAGGTTCTATTGACTGTCTGAAGAAATCTGTGAGGGAAGATGGCGTTAGGTGTCTCTTCCGTGGATTAAATTCCACCATTTTGAGAGCCTTTCCTACAAACGCTGTTACTTTTACGGTTGTTCACTGGACACTCAGGTTGTTTAATTACGAAGAAATAGTGAAAGAAGACTTGAAGGTTAAGGAGGAGAAAGGTAACAGTGACAATTGTCGGCTGGTTAAATTTTATTTAATGTTTGACACTATTCTAGATAAAAATTTTAATTTATGCACAGGCGTCAATATTTGTCATGATAATTATTACTATTTGAGGAAAAATGATTATGAAGAAAATTACAATGATTATAAGGATAAGTTTGTGAGATGTTTGTAAAACAGATCCAAATTTTTATACAGTATTGTACTTTTTTTTTTTTACGAATTTTTTACAGGTTTAAATATTAATTTTTTTTTTAAATTAAGGAGATCCAAAGAATATCTATAAAAAAATCATATGTAGAAATACTTTTGTTATTCTTAAAATTAATTTTTAAATTAATTAATAATTTTTGAGGAAATTTCCGGAAATAATTATTAACATTTAATTTACTAATAAAAAATATAGCACTCCTTAAATAAAATATTTAAATCTTATTAATATAATGAAGAAAAATTATAAGATTTAATATAAACAAAATTTTGAAGAAATAAAAACTTTCAAAATAAAATTATTTAATAAAATAAATTTTGTTTATATATTTGTTATTTATAATCTAAAAATAATTTAATATAAATAAAATAAACAAGTGAACGATGAATGACTGTCAAAAAATGTTATGTAAATTATTAGTGCAATATATCTCAATAAATTTTTTAAAAATAACAGTCTGCCATATAATTTTTTAAATAAATACTAAAGCTAAAAAATATTTAACAAAGTCTAATAATTTTTCTTCATTTAAACAATAATAATATGCTGACGAGCGTTAAGAAAAAATTATAGTGGTCGCGGGATGAATTGACGGAAATTTAAAGTTAGGATAAATGCTGAGGAAGATGGAGGCCAAAGTGAATCTCAACAGCGACGAGGGCAAAGAAGACATGGAGGTTGGTTTACTAGCGACCTATGGCGGTCGATGTATGAGCACACAGGCGATGCAGTCGCTCTATGATCTCAGACGGAACAATCTTTTTTGCGACGCCATTATTCGGCTTGAAGATGGTGGAGTTTTTCCAATTCATCGGGCTATTTTGTCTGCATGCAGCACTTATTTTAGGTAATTTATAATAAACAATTTTCATATGATTTAATCTAAATTTTTAATTTAGATAAATATTTAAATTTAATATTGTTCCTAATGTTCTTTTTGTTCCACAGAAGTGCAAAGCAGAATTATTTTCATTACAAGATTGATTAAATAGCCTTTTAATGTTTCTACTCTAAATTTTCTATTGCGCATGCGCGAGTATTGTTCCTAAAGTTCCTCATGTTATACAAAAGCACAAAGCATAATAACTTTTCTCATAAGAATAATTAGTTAATTTTTCAAGGTTTTTATCCAAATTTTTTATTGCGCATGTGCGAATATTGTTCCTGATGTTCCAAAGAAGCCTAAAACATAATTAGTCTTCTTAAAAAAATAATTGATCATTCTTTCAATGTTCCTACTCTGAATATCTTCTGCGCATGCGCAAATATTGTTCCTAATGTTCCTTTTGTTCTACATAAGCGTAAAGAAAAATTATTTTTCTTACAAGAATGGTTAAATAGCTTTTTAATGTTTCTACTTTGAATTTTCTTGTGCGTATGCGCGAAGATTGTTCCTAATGTTCCTTATGTTCTACAAAAGCACAAATCACAATAACTTTTCTTAAAAGAATCATTAGTTAATTTTTCAAGGTTTTTTGCTCCAAATTTTTTACTGCGCATGTGCGAATACTGTTCCTGATGTTCCACAGAAGCGTAAAACATAATAATTCTTTTTAAAAAAATAGTTGATCATTCTTTCAATGTTCCTATTCTGAATATCTTCTGCGCATGCGCAAATGTTGTTCCTAATGTTCCTTATGTTCCACAGAAGCGTCAAGCAGAATCATTTTCCTTATAATACGAATAATAAATTAATTTTTAAAGGTTTCTACTCCGAATTTCTTCTGCGCATGCGCGAATATTGTTCCTAATGTTCCATAGCAGCAAAAAACAGAATAACCTCTTCTAAGATTAATTAATAAATTTTATCTCCAACTTAAATGTTATTTAATTTCTAATGTTATTTAAAACAATTCTAGGACATTATTCACCACAAGTCTCTACACGGAAGAAAAAACAGATGTATTAGTTCCAGGGGTTCAAAGCGACATGATGAATCATCTTCTAGAGTACGCTTACCTCAGATCTTTGGACGTGAATCACAAAAATGTCTGCCAATTGCTGGCTACTGCGAATTACTTGTGCATATTCGGAATCCTGGATCTCTGCCAGAACTATCTCAAGGACAACCTGACCCCTGAGAACTGCATTGGAGTTCTGAGATTCGCTCGGGAACATTTTTGCCAGCCTTTAGAGTCTGATGCGCACACTTTCGTCATGAGACATTTCATTGAGGTAATTAATTAAATTAATTAATTAATTGTAATTATTTATTAATCAAGTAAAAAATCGCAGGTTGCAGTAAAAAGCAAGGAAATACTCCAGCTGACATTTGAAGAAATCCAACCGATGATCACGACAGACGAATTGAATGTCAAGAACGAGGAATGCGTCTGGGAGTTTGTTATCCGCTGGATCGACCATGATCCCCAGGATCGACGAAGACACATCAAGGACTTGATGCGGACAATTAGGTTAGGGCTGCTGGATACCCAGTACTTTCTGGAGAAAGTCAAAGACCATCCTTATGTTAGTGGGGTTGAAGAATGCAGGCCCATTATTATTGAAACTCTGAGGTTCTTGTATGACCTTGACATGATAACTCAAAAGGATGGAGAGCTTGATACTCCAGAAATTGCGAGACCGCGCATTCCACATGAGATCCTGTTTGCCCTTGGCGGCTGGAGAGGCCACAGCGCCACCAGTTTGATGGAAACTTATGACACTCGTGCTGATAGATGGATTCCGGTATGGTGGAATTTAATAGAGAACTTGAATTAATTTTTTTATCTAAAAAAATTTTGATATTAAGAAAAGAATTTTTTTAATTAAAGTAACGTAAAAGCCCCAATTATTGACACTAAGAGACAAACTCTTTTAAACTCTCTGTAAGATCGCAGTGCGCACTGGATATATGACACTACGTCACTTGCCGCTCAAATTTAAATTATAAAAAAAAATAATTCTTATTTTAAAAATTACCTGAACAAATTATTAAAATATTTTTTTTTAATTTTTTCTTAACAATCTTTTACTAAACTATTAAAAAAAACATGAAATTTTTCTACTAATCCAAGATATGCAATTATAATTAATTTTCTTCTTTTCTTTTTCAGGTGCTGGAGAATGACCCAACTGGTGGAAGAGCTTACCATGGAGCTGCAGTTATTGGCTTTAATATGTACGTTGTCGGAGGATTCAACGGCGTTGAGTATCTCAACAGCTGCAGGTGCTTTAATGCAGTGACCAAAATTTGGCGAGAAATAGCACCGATGAATTCACGAAGGTAAGATTTCTTTTTTTTTTTTTTTTTATTATAGCTATTAGAGATTATGTTATTAATTTTTTGATATTTTTGCAGATGCTACTCCAGTGTCGCTGTGCTAAATGACATTATTTATGCCATAGGCGGGTATGATGGTCTTGAAAGGTTCAAAACAGCAGAACGATACAATTATAAAGATAATCAGTGGTCATTAATCGCTCCTATGAATGTTCGGCGATCAGATGCTAGCGCTACTGCATTAAATAGTAATATAATTTTATAAAATGTTTAAATATTCTAAATTAATCCAGTAATTTATTAAAATTGAAGAAAAATTAATATTTAACATTTTGCACTTTTTAATTATTTAAAATTCAAAGTTTATAAAATTTTTTTAAAAATATTAATTGCTTAGATAAAATTTGGATCACCGGCGGGTTCAACGGCGAAGATTGCATTAATTCTGCAGAATATTATGACCCAGATACTAATCAATGGACCATGATTGCTCCAATGAAGTCTTGGAGGAGTGGATTATCTTGTATTGCTTATCATGGTTGCATTTACGTCATAGGTAATCAAAAAATAAATTTAATCATTTTTTACAAGTCAATATTTAATATTATTACTGTTAAAAAATTTTTAATTTCAAAAAAATTTTTGGAAAACTCTTTATAAATTTTCTTATTGAAAAAATTATAACAAAAAAAGTTTGAAGAAAAATTTCAGATCTAAAAAATTTTTTAAATTATATGTATGATTTTTTAAAAATATTTTTCCAGTTCTAATTTAATTAATAAAAAAAAAAAATTAAAAAATTGTTCAATATTTTTTGATTATAGTATCTCAAAAAAATATGCATTTAATTTTAATTTTTTTTATTATGATCAAAATTCAAGCGCTAATTTTTAAAAATTCTTTTTTTTGTCTTACAATTTTTATATTATTCATAAAACTATCTATAAAACTTTTACAATATGAAGAATTATTAAACTTTAATAATTTGACAAAATTTTTAAAGTTTTAATTTATAATTAATAAAAAAAAAATGTCTATTATTAAAAATTTTTGTTTTTATTTAAATCAAAGTTCAAGTTCTAATTAAAAAAAATTTTTTTTTGTCTTAATTGTTACATTATTTTTTAAAATTTAATTAATTAATTAATTTAATTCTAAGGTGGATTCAATGGTATTTCCCGAATGTGCAGCGGCGAAAAATACACTCCAGCAACAAATACCTGGACCCACATACCAGACATGTACAACCCAAGAAGTAACTTTGCTATTGAGGTTATAGACGACATGATCTTCGCAATAGGAGGTTACAACGGAGTCAGCACTACTTTTCACGTTGAATGTTACGATGAAGCTACCAACGAATGGCAATTGTTTATTTTTTACAATAATTTATTAAATTAATGTAATGTTAATTAATTTATTAATTTATTGATTTTGTAGGTATGAAGCGACAGATATGAACATGTATCGATCGGGATTATCAGCGTGTGTGATAATGGGCTTGCCGAACGTCAATGATTATATCCACAAGCACCGCGAAAGTCTGATGGAAGAAAAGAGACAAAAATTACTGGCGCTTGAAGTTCAACGGAGTCATCAACAAAATCAAAGAAATAATAATAATAATAACATTCATAATAATGAACATAATAATAACAATCTCAATGTTAATAATAATGTTAACAATAATTTTTTAAATTCAGTTGTTAATGCGCCAGTAATTTTACGGAGACCGTTTCAAAATCACAATCTTTAGATTTTTTTTATTTTTATAACTTTTTAGAGATTTTTTCGAGGATATTTTAATTAATTTATTTTTTTTTTCGAATAAATATTTTGAATTTTAGAAAGTTTGTATTTTTATAAATTAGCGTTTGAATTTTCATAAAAAAAAAAAAAAAAAAAAAAAAGCCATTCGGCAGCCGAAATGGAAGTAGATTTCATAATAAATAGAAAAAAAACTATCAGGATTGTATACAAACAAAAAAAAAAAAAAAAAACAATGACATCAAAACGAATGCAAAAGTAAAACTTCATTAAATCTGTCTGAGAAAGTAAGTAATTTTTAGCTTAGATTGATAATAAGGAATGCAAATTAAAGTTTATTTAATAATAAAATTGAGCTTTCAGATAAAATTGACAGAAAATCGCAATCAATTATTATTACACGGAAATACGGTGAAAGTGAAAATTCTTGCGATTTTTAAAAATTTTTGAATTGCTCTCATTTCTAAACTAATCGACAGATTTGGCTCAACTTAGAACTTAACCTTGGAAATCATCCTAAGAATGAGTATGTTATTGAGATCTGTATAGAATTGTGAGAGTTAGAGAAGAGACAAGACGAAAAATTTTTGAATCAAGTAAAATTTATTTAAACCAAGTAAAAATTTTTTAGTTAAAAAATTTTTTTACTCAAATCAAGAAAATAAAGTTCTTCAAAATTATATCCTTGATTCAAGAATATTTTTTTTCTGTGTGACAATTTCAATATTTAATATCACCAGGAAGAATTTAATTATCTACAATGACCATTATTAAAAATGTCTTAAGGACATTATTGAAATCATTATTAAAGTCTAACATTAAAACTCAGTTTGTTTTAGTAATACCATTGTTACATCTATTCACCATGTCTATAAAATTTCGCAATGAAAATCGTGTGTGGAGGAATTTGCTCAGTCATATGGAACAACGCATTGTTTTTTTGAGAAAATGCGCCGATAACAATCTAAGTAATCCAGTAATTGATGAAAACTGCAATCAATATCGTGTATGGAAAGACCTATGTATTATTAAGTATAACTTATATGAGTGGCTCGAGTATATTTATCATACAATACCATCAATAGCAATACTTAAAGTAGGAAAAATTATTTGTAATCTTGAAAATAGTGACGAGAATGATTGGAAAAAAATATTTAACTTCTATAAAAGTTGGATAAAGTACACTAATTTTCATACTTTAAATAAAGTCAGCATATCTGATGAAGTTTCATTTACTAACATACAGATATTATCATCTGCAACTTGGGGTAAGTACTTAGATTTGGACTTCAATTTGTTAAAAATTCAAATTTTGCTCACACTAACTTGTGAAAAAAAAATTTTTTTCAATAATAAAATTACTGTGAGAAAAATTTTTATTTCTTCATGAAGAATACTTTTAAAAAATTGAGTAATTATTACAATAATGCTCAATTATTTTAAGAACTTTTCGACAAATTTTGTTAATTTTTTTTACTCATAAATTTGTTCACAATATATATTTGGACTACAATTTGTTATTCAATGATTTATTTTATTTTTGTACAACGTTCCGTTCTTCTCAGTACTTTATCAATTACTGTAACAGAAATACAATGATTAACTTTAAAATTATAACATATATATATTATTAATTTTTAAATTTAACATGAGTCTAGTAAATTTAATTGGAAGGTTGAATTTAAGTAACTCTTAATATTATAATAAATATAATTAATCACAATTCATACATAAAAATTATAAAAATTAACAAATTACTAAAAATTTTACAAACAAGATATTTAATAACAAAGTTCGCTATTTTCAGGCTTACTTATTCTTATTTAAAGCATGTAAAACTTTCTGACTACTCAAATATTCTCTGTTATATTAAAAAAAAAATTCCTCGACACACTGAGAGAAAAAATTTATTTTTAAAAAAATTAGCAATGCTGTAATAATAAATTTATTTGTTTTAAATTTTCTTCATGAAGAAATAAAAATTTTTCTTACAGTAACTTTATTATTGAAAAAAAGTTTTCTAGATTTGGGAAAAAAAATTTTGGATTTAAATTCCCAAGTTGTCTATCTAAAATTATTTTTTTCCAAATCAAAAAAACTTTTTTTCAACAAGAAAATTACTGTGAGAAAAATTAATATTTCTTCAGCCAAGAAATAAAATTAGCAACAAATTAATTTCTTCTCACAACAATGCCCATTTTTTTTTTTAAAGAAATTTTAACAAAATTTTTCTTATTCTCTTCTTTTCTTAATAATATCGATAATTTAATGTTGCAGGTGGTAATTTGATATATTCAACAAATGCAGCAGGAATCTTTTTGAAACCTCATAATTTTAATGGTGATCCAATAGAATTTCGCAACGAGGACACCGATTTTGTAAAAGATCTTACATTTTGGAATGTTAATGCTGACCTCAAATTAATTATTGGAATTACTTCTGATAACAGCCAACTAATTTGCTGGAATTTGGAAAGTGGACAAATCGTAGGTGCTGATGCTTTTGATAATCGTCATCATATTTTCTCGTAAGTTTCAATAAAATTTAGGAACACACTGAAAAAAAAATATTTAACAGAAATGAAAAGTGCAAATTAATTAAAAATATTTTATTTTTAATAAAAATAAAAAAAAACTGCTTATAAATTAAAATTCAATACAATTTTGATTTCAGGATGAACAAAAGCTTCTTATTTTTAATTACCAACCATCTGGAAATAACAGCAGTAAAATTTATCATTGACTTAGAAGGTGTTTTTGATGAAGTAATCGTTCAAGATACAATCATAGTAAATTTGCCGAGAAAATTTAATTCCTTCGGATTTGAAATAATTGAAATCTCTACAAATGCAGAAATTGTAAGTGACTGAAAAGTAGTTAAAAAAAAGTAGTCTTTATTTTATTAGTTCGATTATTAATTAAAGTTGTATATTACAGGTATCAATAGTACGAAGAAGAAATAAAATATTCAAAGTAGTTCAATTAAAAATTATATTTAATGATCCAGAAGATGATGAAAGTTTTTATTTTAGTGTTTTCAATATAAAACGGTATTCTTTGCCAGATGTTGATGAAAATACACCAATCAAATGCCATGTTGCATTGAGTAAATTTTTATTGCTCAGTTTTGGTAATTGTATTTTAAATTAATCAAATTTTTATTTATTATACTAGAAAATTGAACGCGCTTCTGTCAAAATGTTTTTATTATCGACAATTTAATTAATCAATAATATTTTTACAAATTTTACTAATTAATATTTAACCGTTGCCATGGTAACCGTTGCTATGATAACCATTGCCAAGAAAGGTCACCATAGCAACGAAAAGCGAAAACAATGAAAACGTCACATCAACTTTTTACTAAAGGATTATCTATTTTTTTAGTTTTGGTGATTTTACTAATTAGTATTTTTTCTAATTTATTTCATTGAACTTCATCTTAAATTTTATCTTTATTTTTGTCTTATTTTTTTAGTTAGTATTTTAAAAATTTTTTTAAACATTCGCAAATGCATTAAATAAATAATAAAATTTTTATATTTTATTTTACAGCTAATTTAAGAGTTCTCCGACATAAACACACGTGTTTTTGCTACCAAACTTATTTTTGTTTCGACATTCAATATCTAGAGGCTATAATATTAATTCATACTCGCAAATTTGTTCGCTATTGTTTTATTGCTAGGCATTGTTGTGTGAATTTCGCTCTCTTTTTATTTTTAAAATTGTTTTGCCCCAAGTTCCAGATGATATAATAATATGACTTTTTGGATAGGTTCAATATTGTTTGTTCATCTGATTGAAGAACCGAATACAAACCAACGGAAGAAAACATCAAGATGGGAGTATGATAGAATTATTACAAGTATAAAAATGTTTATTGATGTTATACTTTTGGGTTTTGAGAATGGTAAGACGTTCATTTATTTAATTACATAGACTGAAAAAAAAAAAGCAAATAATTTTGAAAAACTTCATTTTTTTAATGTGAGTAGAAAAATTCTCAAATTAAGAAATTTTTCTTGATTTAAGTTTATTTCATTTGATTCAAGTTAAGGGGGTATTCTGGTCTAGAAATTTGAAAAATTCGAATTATTTTTTTTCGCATATTTGCAAAGTTTAGACCCTTAAAAATATGTCCTTGAGTGGATTTTTAAAAATCCGAATTATTTTCGGAGATACCGTGGATTTTGTGACGCAGCTGCTTCTGCTTCTGCTTCTTCAATAGAAGGCAGAACAGCTCGATTAGCAGAAAGAACTTCGCAAAACATCGAGTAGGAAGTAGAAGAAGGCTCAATTTACGGATCTGGGATTCGCGATTAATCCAAAGTGAATATTAAATATTATTATGAGTTATTTTACTGAAATCGTTTCTAAAACTTTAAACGCGATTTTCTCGAAACTACTTTTTTTAAAGTGATTGACATGATATCTTAAGTTCTACCCCACCGATTCCTTTGAAATTTAGTGGGAATTTGTTTTATATATCTCTCTATCGCGTCTGCTATGAATTTCAAAAAATTTCAATTTGGAGTATTTTTAAAAAATTCGAAAAGGTCATAAAAAAAGGTAAAAAAAAA